AAATTAAGGAAAATTACGTGGTCAACGGCGACCACTGTATATATGCATCAGTTTTTAAATTGTAGCTTTTTAACTTCCTCAGAAAATAGTTTTTAATTCGCAGTAGATCAGTATATTCAGGAGCCGACAGGCGCAAACCGAAAGTTAATATTCGAGCCGAAGTCCATCAACACGGTATGATAAATAATTATGTAAATTATACTACTGACTGTCTGTTAGTAGCTTGTTAATATAAAGCGATGATTCCGCTGTGGTTGATGGATTTCGGACCAAATACCTACATCAGATTTCGGTCTGCGTCTGTAGACTTTTAAAAACATCAATCTACTCTGAGTTGGACATAAATGTCTGAAGAAAGTAAAAACCTGCAATAGCTCAGTCCCCTTGGTCCGGATGGCACCCTCGTACATGTGGGATCCGAGTCGGGGACCAGGTCGTGTATGGCACGCATAGGCGGACTGTCACAGCAACTATGCCCGAGCAAGCCTCCGGCAGTCTTGAAACCGGCTAAACAGTGAAGCCGGAGAGGTGGGGGTGGAGAGGGTGTGAGGGATACTGTGGCAGTTTATTGTAAACTCATTGACGCACAAGTCACCGTCCTGCGCCCCACCCATGGACAAGCGATGATGGTTGTCGTTCGCGAAGGCTAAATTGTGGCTATAATTTTGTTCTACAACACTTCTGCTTCATACTATACATTCTCCGAAGCTTCCAAGTCTGTATGTAAACAAAAAGACTTCAATACACAAATCTGTGGATATTTAGTCAAGACCCAAGTTGTCCGGTGGCCACTTAATTTCTTCCATTTTCTGAAATCTGTTTGAGAACGTAAAACGTAATGCAGCCGACATCTTAAACGTCAAAAAGTATGGCGTAATCCTCACGAAATGTGAATGCTGCAAACCTACTTGACTGACCGCTTACAGTACGGCTCAGAATTCGAGCAACATGCCGACAGTTGCAAAAGATTGATACTCCCTCGATAATTGTTATTGAGTAAGGTTGTAATACTGACTACCGTGTGGCCTATTCTCAAGTCATTTCAGTTACGATAGGATTCCGGCTTTTAATGGGCTTCTTTCAGACCGCTAACAAAAAGTGCGTAATGTAAAAAATGGCTACTTAGGTAGTATACATTTTCAGCATTGATTTTGACTGCCTTTATAAGTTCAAATATATTTTATGGAAAAAAATGCACGAAAAAAATCTTTTTTGTATTCCTTTGGTAGCAAATTACGCCTTCCTAAAATTTTACACTTAAAAGAATGGTATAATTCGGTTTTAGAAAAATTTCCAATTATGAGAATTTTTACGGCTGTGAGGTGTTAATTCAGAATGCTTCGTATCCGTCAATTTATTGATACTGCCTATAATACATGATCCACACATTGCAAAATTTTGTGAGAACTATGTGACTTCTGCCTCAAACCGAAGGTGAAAACGCACTTTTCCTTCAACAGTATGTACACAGCGCGCAGTTTGTAAACCTTCAATTCAGGTGTAACAATCAGTAGGTTTCAAAATTATTCAGCAATTTATAAACTTTCTTAAAATCAAAAGATGACCTTCCTATAAGTATAAACTTAAAAGGTGTAAATTGCTACCAAGGGAATACAAGAACGAATTTCTTCGGGCATTTTTTCCACAAAATATATTTGAATTTATAAAGGCAGTCAAAATCAATGGTAAAAATGTGTACTACATTAGCAGCCATTTTACAGTAAGTAATTTTTGTTAGCGGTCAGAAAGAAGTTCTTTAAAAATCCAGCATCGTGTCGTGACTGAAAGGACTTGAGAATGGGCTACGTGGTAATCAGTATTACAACCTTACTCAATGCCGATTAGCGTGTAAGTATCAATCTTTCGCAAATGTCGGCATGTTGCACGAATTTTGAGCAGCACTGTACATTTATGTTTTCATACACCCAACAACGAACGATACTGTTTTTAGCATGACGGTTCCATTCGGTTTGTGCAGTGATTTTTAATTAAATGTAATTTGACATGGTTACAAACATGTATCAACCATTCAGTGAGCGTCTTACTACTTCCACAGACAAGCAAAAATAGTAGCCGCGATACACGAAAAGGTATTTACTCAAAACCATCACGAATGGCAGAAGAAAACGGTGTGCGACCAAGCGAGCATACTACCGTTCTTCCCACAACAGGCCAAGGGGTAGATATACTGGACCAACACAGAGCCATATCAGGGCACGGCGAGCATTATATGGAACAAATGGCATACGCGGGGGCGTGTGGTGACCCACGTAGGTGCAGTCTCAACCGCGCCAACCAACTAAACCCAACTCCGCCCACAGTCTTCTTGGCTCTAATTTGACACCGGGGTCAGACGGATGAGAGAAGAGAGGGTATGATAGATGCCACG